TACATACGAATATCCTTCAAGGCCACTCTTACACTCTCTTGCATATGTGGTTGAACTTTAGTGAGATTGTGCCTTGAAAATCAATTATACTCTTAAGTTAGTAATGTTATTTTTTTTGTTTATTTCTGTATTTACAATTAAAAGATATGTCTTTATAATTTAATCAAGCTTGACAAAGTATTCAACTCCAAGTGAATGAATTTACTTTTACAATATATATATATATATATATTATCTTGTGTGTAATCATAACTATTTCAAGTTCACTTGTATTTTTACATCATTATTCTTTATTTTCATAACTAAATTGTCATATATCATATTTATTAAAAAGTACAAGTTTTTGGATTTTCATTTTTAAGTCATATTATAGTTGTGCAGTTTTTTTTCTATTCTGCAGCTTTATATATCTATATATATATATATATATATATATATCTATATATATATATATATATATATATATATTATGCTTTGTTTAGCAGTTAACATAATTTCAAAATATGTTTTATTTCTATGGACATACATACATACATATATTTTTGAATAAATTTACTTTAGTATTTGATATTCTAATTTCCTTAAACTAACTTGTTTTTGCATTTCATTGTACAATTTTAGGTTTTGATCAAATATTAATCAGAATAAATTGACTCATTAAACGTTGATGCAATTCTAGAGTTGGAATTGATATGTGGTTGTGCTTCAAATGACAGAACAATTTACAAAACATGACAGATAAAGAGAAAAACCATAATATTTCTGGTTAATATTAGAGATTGCCTTCTTTATTTAAAAGATTTTTTTTTTTTTTATGTATGATATTATTATCTTCAGTAAAATTCGCTTTTTTTAGTAAAAAAAAGTGAGAAGGTAATTTAGTAAATAAAATAAGTCGATTTTTCTTTGCAACTTAATGCTACAAAAACTCATGATAAATTTAACATATGAGAAGATTTTGTCAGCATCTGGATAATATTTTTCATGTAACTTTATTTTTAATTAAACAAGTATGTTCATAACTTTACACTATATTTTTTATAATACTTTTAAATTATATTATTAAATTTAAATAGATTTTAAATTTTATTATATATATATATATATATATATATATATGTGTGTGTGTGTGTACATATATAGATGTTTTAATGATGAATGTTTATAAAATCATTTTTAAAAATCAAATTGCATATGATAATAAGAGGCATATTTTGTTTTCTAGTGCATCAGTTCTATAACTATTTACTTTATTAATGTTTTGAATAAATATGATTTTATAAAAACTAATAGAAATGTTTTGAGCAGAGTGGTTCGTCAATTTTATCCAATGAGAAGATTTAAAAGTTGTAACTTCTCACCTTATCTCCTACATACAAAGTGCATCTTATTTTAAGTGCTTTTAATGATAAACATATTCCTTTATTATGATCTATGTAGTAACCTATAGGCCATCAAAACCATTTTTTACTAATAAAAAAATTATATACATTTTTTATCACTAGATTAAAATTTGCAACGTGTTTCTGAAACTTTGCCATTCAGTTTATTTTTTAATATTTAAAAATTGGAAATAGTGGAAATTCAATATCCTTATAAAATAATCACTAATTTTTATGACTATATGTATATATTATAATAACAAAGAAATATATATATATATATATATATATATAGAGTTTTTAAGATTTTTGATATATATATATATATATATATATATATATATATAGTTTTTAAGATTTTTGATATATATATATATATATATACATATGTATTTAATGTATTTATGTCTAAATATGAAACCATCTTTAGTGTTTGTCTATAGAATAAACTTAATGCAATTTTATAAATAGTATTATTATTAAAAATTAATTGAAATGTAAAATTTCTCAAAAGTAAATAAATAAATTTTTTTGGAATTTTCATTTTTTTTGTCATAAAGGAAACTTTAAACAAAAGCCTTACAATGGTCTTCCCTAAGTGAAAAAAGAAACTATTGTTTAGAAGGATTGACATTTGGAGATAGTATAAAGTGAAAAGAGGTCATAACATTGACCAAAACATTTTTTCAATTATAAATCTTGATACAAAAACTCATTTTTTAATGTTAAAAATTATAAAATATATAACTTTTAAAATAATTATAACAAAAACTTTAATAAATATTCTTAGTAATTTTAACTTGTCTCCTTGAATTTTTCTAGAATCTATCTCTTGAGTTGGGTCTAATATAAATTCCAAAATACAATACTATTTATGCCATGTAGATTAAAAGAACATGTTCTATTTCACATTTTTCTCTCATAGCTTCTGTGTTTGATTTCCCTACATATCAAGTCAACCATAAAAAGCTTCTTAATTCCAATCAATTAAAATTATTAATTTATGTGCACTCTTCCGTTTTCTTGCCTTTCTTCTTAAGTGTACCAATCTTTCAACTGACCAAAAAAATTATATACATATCCATGTTGGTTAATGTAAAATTGTACATTAAAATAATTGTCAATTCTTAAGTACAATACACATGCTACATATTATAACATTTTAATGCATTATGTGAATTTTCATTTAAAAAAAAAACTCTACATAAGCACGTATCATGAAATAACTAATTAAAATTCAAAACTATCCTAAATGAAATTATCCATATATATTGCTTTGTTGAAATTTAGTTTTGAGGAAATTTTAATAAAAATATTGTTCAATTTCACCTAACATATGTGGAAATTTTTATTTTGAAATAATTATTTTTTTCTCTTATTCTTATTCTTAAAATAAATAACAAAACCAAAAATTATTATTTCTTGATATATAAATATTTTAAAATTATTTAAAGAAATAATCACATATCTTTTGAAGTATATACACTTTAATTTTATAATAAAAAATGCATAAAAATTATTTAATGCACAATATATGGATCCATACAAATTAAAGATGTTTTTAGTTATTTTCAATAAATATGGGTTTTATAAATTTTTACATTATGATTATCTAATTTTGTATCTAAATATAAGCACAAAACTCATCTTTTTTAGATTGATTTGAAAAATTGTGAATATCTATATATCTATATATATATATATATATATATATATACATCTCTCTCTATCTATCTATCTATCTATCTATATTAGAATTTCAAATTTTGTAAACTTCTATTGAAGTGTAGTTTAAAAGTTTGTCAAAATTGATTAAATTGATTATATCTATTTCAAACAAAATAAAAACATATCCACTATTCAGTAAAAGTAAAATAAAAATATATGGATTTTTGAAAAAAATAACAAAAATAATTTTGAAAAGAATTTAAATAAGAGTTTTGTAATACTTTAGAATTGTTTTGTTTTGTTTTGTTTTTTTTTTTCCTAAAAAAAAAATAAAACTGAAATGAATTTGAGTGCATCATTGCAACAATAACATTTAATAATGCAAAAAAAAAATACCTTTAATCCAAAAATCACAACTAAATGTTCTTAAATTTTGGGAATTGTTAAATTAACCCACTTATATATTAAATCGACCCACCCATCATTATACATCTGCACATAAATTTTTGGACTCCTCTTTTCATTGGTTGCGGATTCAACAATGAAGAATTATTTTATGATAGTAAGGATAGGTGGAACAATTTAGTAAATTCCTGGGTCAATTTAACGATTTTCTAATTATTTTACTATTAAACAAGTCTGGCTATTGTGAAGATCTTTCAAAACAATCATAAGGTAATAGCAATATTAATCAAAGAACCAAAACTTAAAATTTCAAACATATCCAAAGACATATTTGAATAAAGAAACTTTTAAAATCCATAATTAAACATTCAAGTAAAATTTGAAAAAGCCATAATATTAATTTAAAGTTGAGTATCATCCATGTGTAAAATCCCAACTGTCTCAAAATGAAAGGGATTGCCGACGTAGCCCCCATCCATCCACCCAAAACGACAACCACCTGGCACACTGCCCACGTCAGCACGGAAGACCTCACGAATGGATGACGTGGAACAGTCAGCCACGTCAGCGCGAGGCGCCGCGGCCGCAGCCTGGCGCTGCCGGCGGCATGCGGTCTCCGGCGTCTGAAGAAGCGAGAGAGACGAGGAAGGCCGCGTTTCTTCAGAGCTTGCTCAACGGTGTGTGTGTTTAACAGAGAGGGTGGAGAACAAGTTTTATTCATGAATGAGTGAGTGAGTATGGTGCTCTCACTCAGTAAGAGCGAGAGAGTGAGAGAGGTGCTGGGACGCTACCAGTGGCATGCGGGAATTGATGGGAAGAGGAGGCGATGGGGGAAAGGGAATCCGTTAAGGACAGAGGGATGGGTGGAGGAAGAATGAGAGTGGCACTCGTGGTCAGACCTGGTCGGATGAATCTGGGCGAGCGAGTGAGCGATTGAGCTCTCTCGCTGGGCCCAATAACGAACCCCGTTCTCTAGTTACTTGTCTTCTTCGCTTGTGCGTTTGTTGTCGCTGGGCCTTTCTCATCATTCTAAACTTGCAAATAAAATCTCGACATTCTGGAACCTTTTTTTGGCTTCTGCCAAAAATTTCCAGGATGGCTTTTTGTTGTCACTCGTGGCTGCTCATAATTGGTTCGCGAATTGCTTCCGATCTCCAGGATTGATTATTACTTTTACTTCCTCGTGTCATTCATTGTTTATTGACCATTACTCGTGCCACTTATTAGTTTCCTTAACTCACTTTTTTTCCGCGTGATAGTGAACTTTGAACTTAATGAGATACTTCTGTTATTTTATTTTGTTTTATTTATGTTTGTTTTGTTTGGCTTCTGGTTGTTTGGTTTTGTTTTAGTTTAGCTCCTTGTGCCACAATTCTGATCGTCACCGTCCCCTAAGACATTTTCATAAATGCCGCAGGTTGTCAGAGCTGGAAGAGCCTTACACCACCATGCTGCAGGGGGGGGGGGGGGGGGGGATGATTTGGTGAAACATGCAAAATGTTAGCCCACCAGGAGTGGTTCAGGAGGTTGCTAGGTGCATCCTGCAATAGCGGAATGGCATTGGCCTAGACAAACCTACCTGGCCCCGTTTTAACTCCAAACTGCGACGGGACGGGTGTAGCTTGGCATTAGGGTGTACTGGAAACCCTTCGTGCGTTGTCGACCCTAGGCCTCTGCATCTGCTCGTGCGAGAATTGTCACGGACACAGGACTCTGGAGGGTGTTACGTGAAATCCAGGACTACCATGGAATTGTATTAAATGTGAGGTTATCATCATATCCGGCTTCGCTGCAGGAATCTAGTGAACCTCACAGACGTAGGGGTCGAAGATCAGTCATTTGCCGTGGTGGAGCTCGAATCCTGCAGACTGTGTATGAAGTACATGCAATGGTAATGTACTGAGAAGTGTTGAAATTCGGGGCCGTGGACACTCTCTTTCTTCACTTGACAGCGGTGATCTAAAGGTTGATGCTGGAAATGCTTGAACGCCGCATCTCATGTTGAGATTACTCGCACTGCAACTCAGTCCCACTTTTAGCATAATAAAATTCGTGTTAGCGAGCAAATTGACTGTCTCGAGGCCTTACTGTGGCGTTGTTTTTGACATTGTGAACCGGGCTAGAGTGTTTCACGGTCCAGACAATAGTTTCAGCAAACATCTGAGGAGACTGAAGGGTCATGATTCAATGAAAAGATTCACCAGCACAACACCTCGCACTCTGGAGGTGGTGACCTCCGTCTGCGAATCAATGAGCACCAGTCGGATTACGTGACAAACGATCCTGGTGATAGCTTTCCAGTTTGATAGCATGAATTTGAAGACTCTGGGTCTCCATGTAGATGACCAGATTGGTTTTAGTCGTTGCTTGATTGCAATACTGATTGCGGGTTAGACGCTCGGACATGATTCACCGAGTATGAGACAAACTTTGGTAGTATTCTAGGAAAAAGAAGGGACGGAGGAGTGGAGGTTCTTCGATCATCGCACCCATATGTGTAGCATTAATACTTGAAGGAATTGATGCCAACATTTCCTTCACTGTAAATTTCTGGTTAGGCTGAGGTTGCGGCGATTCATCATGGCACTTCACGATATGCTGAAAGGCAGTGGCATATCTGCGAAGTGCAAATGGAGAGATGTGGCGCCTGAAGTTCCTCGAAAGAACACTACCAGTGATCGATCGCGAGACAGTCGCAGCCAGAATGAAACTCGAACATGGATGGCCTGCCATCGATGCTCTGGACCCGCATTCAACACTCTCTGTGACCGCTGTCTCTCGCCTTGTGCTTCCTCCATGGATACTCTTAATTTTCTATTGGAAGGCGCTATTTCTTTCAGAGGGGGTGAGATTTGTCGCAGCAACAATCTTCCAGATGTATCAGAGTCATTTGGTGCTTACAACACGAATTTCGATTCTGGACAAGTAGAAGGAGGAGATGATCGACAATTCTCGCCTGATTCACCAGTGGTGGACACGTTGGGTATCAGCATAACCCCGGACTGTTCGAAACAGCAGGATTTGGATGGAATTGCAGCAGTTGTGGGAAAGAGTGTTCTTTTCGGATCCACTCACTCCTTGGAAGGACGAATTTCTCGAAGCCTGGACATGTCATTGACCCTGGCGCCACCGTCATTGTGGAAGCATAGTTTTCCCCATGCTTTACAAAGCCGAGTCTTAAATACTTTGCCATCGCGCACAGACAATACCTTGAGCCTGAACGTCGAGTCCGGAGGAAGCCATCGTGCTGACAGCTGCACTAGCGAACAAACTAGATCGTCCCCGACGGATTTCAGAGCCACTTCTGATCATCTACATAATCAAGACATCTCCAAATTATCGTCTCAGTTGCATGAAGTTCGTCGGACTATATCTATAGACAATGACTTCATTGGTTTGGGATCCAGCATGGGAGTGATAGTCGGCCAACCAGCCAAGTCCAGTAGCGGAACGTCCACAAGTGCCAAAAGAATAGCAAGAGCCGAAGCTTCTGGAGCTACCGGGCGATCGTTTAGAGGAGTGAGGAAGAGGCCATGGGGTCGGTGGTCTGCCGAGATTCGTGATCGAATTGGACGATGTCGGCACTGGTTGGGCACATTCGACACAGCAGAAGATGCTGCTCGAGCTTATGATAGTGGTAAGAATCCACCCATTCAAACTTCACTCAAAGGTTTTCCCCCCGGTTGTTGTCATCAATTCGTGAAACGTTAAGTGTGAATTGTCATGCGCTCACAAGTTTCCTTACCATGCTGGTGCACTTCTGTTGTCTGCAGCCGCAAGGGCTCTTCGAGGGGCGAAGGCCAAGACCAACTTCGGAGTAGATCACTCAGGATCGAAATCACATATACACAACGCCTTCCCCAGTTACTCGCGCGCAGAGCGGACATCCACTAGCTCAAGCCCTCAACACAGATCCCTCAGATTATCCAGCTCGCTCCCTCTGAATCAATACTCCTCAGGCATTGCTACAGTTCTGTCGGTCAACATCGGCAACCAGACTCGGAGAGCTTCTGAGGTTCTATCAAACTCGCAACCGGCAGCAGTGCTGATAAGGGCCGAGATCCAGGAGTCTGTCCCTGAGAACTGCGCCATGACCATGCTGCCAAATGCTGATCCAAAGCTGGACTTTTGCAGCCCCAGGTCGTGTTCTAGCCGGGAAAGCACGCAGGAGTCTACAGCGACGTACCAATCACCGGAACATTCGGACTTCTTTTCGACATCGGGCTTTTACTCTGGTTTCTCTTCCGACTTGACTCCAATTCCCATGTCAAGCTCTTGGCAATAGTGCAGCACCAAGTGTTCCAGTCCTTCGACTCACCTTGAAACCCACATGCTGTGGGTAGGGGACACAGATCGATTGCCGAGCTCACAGTGAACGCCCGAATCGAGGGCACTGTCACGCAACAGGCTGGGACACCAAGCTGTCTGATCGGGCTTGATGAATGGCGTGAAGGAAATTGTCACCATTCAAGTGTGCATGCTGACGAAGAAATCACGAAAAAGCTCCAGCATTTCTGACCCCATTTAGAGCATCGAGTTTACATGCCCTGAGGTAGTTATAGCAGCAGCTTGAATTCTATGCAACCCTTCCATCAAGGTTGATGATACTAGGCCAGAAGCTTTGGACAATCCACTGTGATTTTCCTAACGCTTACCATTCGATGAAGAGGTTCATGAGAGATGAGTGTCCTTGTGGAATGATGGAAAAGTGTGATGTTGAATTCCTGTTCCACTTCCAGCCCAATGAAATCACTTCAATTGCTCCAAACATTTGCCTAAGACTTTGTGTTTCTCAAGTTTGAGACTGCGATACTGTGACAGAACTCGTGACTTTGCATGTTGATTACTAACTTCATATTTTTTTTTGAGCGTAGGGTCTCACAGACAACAGAGGGTCAGTTTCATCTTCAGTGCGCATTTGCCCATTTGCTTGTGTGAGGCAGCTTGTGCATCTGACTTTACAAATTGAAAAGCTAGCTCAAGTCTTCTAATCTGGGATGAGCTCTACTCATCTGAAGCGACCCACATTATTCGATGAACTCAAAACAGCCAAAAAGGAAAATATGTTGCGTGAGCAAATACTGTGGGTATATTCTTGGGTAGCAACTGCTACATGATGAGCAATTGCGTACAGCTGAACTATCCATTTTGAATCTGCTTCTGTTTGGAATGAGTGCAAATATAGTTGGAAGGACAGGGGTTTACATGTACAAATTATTCAAAAAGATTATCACTGAGGCTCTGGTCTGTTTGAGTACTAGCACAGGCCACCGTACTGGAAAATGATAAGCTCGAATTTTGATATTCAGTCTCTTTATTTTCCATTTTAAAATCTCGATATTTTTGGAACTTCTTTTATTATGAGAAAAGGTAAAAGATATGAAAAACCATTCAACGTTGATTCTTTCTTCAATTTTTTTATTTTATTTTATTTATTTTATTTATTTTTATTTTTAAATAGGAAGTCTACGTGAACGGGGTTCGGCTTGGAGGAAATGAGACATTGTTAATGTTGGTCTTCTGTTCAATCATTCCAGAGAAAATTTCTCATTGATCTTCAGCACTGAGAGCAGAGAAATACGAACATGACAACAACTCTCCTCAATTGTTCTCGATTCACATAAAAAATCAACAATTCAAGTCCTTACTTACACTCAGTTTTTATTGTTAACTTCAAGTCAGCGTTTTTTCCAAATTTCCAAGGGACCCACGAGCAACTGAATTCAGAGGTAGATGAAGAGCTTCAACTACTATTAGATGTGCACAATTTTTCACCTCTCCATTGGATCCAAATGACAGCCGAAACAAAAAACAAAAACAAAACAAAATAAAGAACACAAAATACAGACAAGGAAAGAAGGAGAAGCAGAAGAAGAAGAAGAACCCTGTGCGATTTCTGAAACCAGCTTGAATCCTGGCAGCAAAATTCCAAAAGGAGGGGGCAGAAGAAGTGAGGGGAGTACATGGATAGAGTTTCAGCGTTGGCACTTACAGGGGCTGAGCTGCTCTGAAACTCTGGGCGATCGCCCTTGAACTGCCGGTTGGATCTCTTCCGGGCCTGGAATGTGTACCAAACTGAAGTGAGCCCAAATTTAATTCATCTCATGGGGCTCGGTACGAAGCCAGTCCCCTGCGTGGCAGACAGGACACCTGAGCCTGCCAACGCCACTTTGCAAAGCCAATGCCAAAGCCTAAGCCAAAGGGGGATGTGGGGTGGGTGGGACCTAAAGGCTGAACGGCTGAGCGGCTGAAACCAGGATTTGAAGACGATCCATAGCTGGCAGAAACCCTCCTCTGCACAGCGAGTGAGAAGCTTTTGACAGAGCCAGAGAAACCCACAAAAATAAAAACACAATCATGCTTCCCCTCATAGCCCCCCACCTCCTCTTCTTAACTTACCTACTTTCCCTGCTCTCTCTATCTCTCTCTCGCTCGCTCTCCCTCTGCCTGTCCGCCTGCATGCCTGCCGGCCTGTCTACAACAACATGCATATTTCCAGAGGCACGAGACCACCATTCCCCCCGTTCCTTTCTCCCTGCCCGTTCCCTCCCCGTCCCATTCTGTCTCTTTCACAGCCTGAATCCGGGGCAGAGTTGCCAGAGCTTTGTAACAGAAACACACAGTGAGCCTCCTCAGAGTAAAAGCGGATCGATGTTGGAGAGTGACTTTAACTGATGGGGAACTGGTGAGGGCACACACGGATTGGCGTTGAACCTGTTGAGGCATTACACGTTTCATCCTTGTTCTTCGTCTTTTGATTTTCATTCATGAATTCGGCATTGTTGGACTGTTCTGTATCACTATTTTCTCTCCCTTTGGTTACTTTCCTTCGCAGTGGGAGGGAGAGAATGATGGCCATGAAGAAGGAGAAGAAGCAGAGGCGTGCCGTGGCAAAGCACGCAGGGACTGACGCAGACAGACAGCTCCAGACGCAGATGCTGACGCCGACAGACGCAGTGAATATGCATTAACGGCAACGGCATAGAGCCCCCCCTGTCCCCTTAACTTACTTTAACTTTCACTTTTCACTTTTTTCAGACGTCCCCTTTTGCTTGATACCACCTTCATCATAATGAGCCCTCCAGAACACAACATCCTTTGGGACTTTGTTAATGGTGCCCAACTGTATTGACCCCCCCCCCCTCCCCCACTTCCCTTCCACCTCTGCCACACCCTAATTTCAAATTCCAGCATTTAAAAACCATTCATTCATCCATCCACTCATTCATTCATTTGTCTATGGTTTGATATTTATTTATTAATTTGAAGGTTTCTCTCTTCCGTTTTTGGTCCAGAATGATCTTTCTTTACCAAATGAAAATGCATGGTTGCATAAAAAGTATTTGAAATTTTACTTTCCATTTATACACTTAAGAATACTTTGTATGTAGGGGACAAAGTGAGAGGTTGCAACTATTAAATGTTTTAATTGGTTGAAATTGAGAAGCTCATTTGAGTTGGTTTGTACTTAGATAGAATTTAATTGAATGGTTTCTTAAAGAAGGATTGTTTTGTTCTTAAATAAAGGTATCATGGATCTTATTGCCATGGCCACAGTAACTCTTATAAATAGACATCATTTTACTTGAAACTGATTTTCTTACAAAGCCTGTTGGAATGGTATCAAGTTATTCATTAAATGCAACATTGATAGTAAACTTTGTGTTGAATTGGTTGCTCACATGACATGAGTCACTGAGATTCTGTTTATTAACGTTGAGTATTTATAGAGAAGTGCTGGAAGAGTTCACAGAATTTTCTCCTCTTGTTAGTTACAGTGACACACGAATGTATTAATAGAAAGCTGTTCTTCCCTGGAGAAATATATACTTAGTGTTTCATTACACAGATATCAAAGGACAAGCATATTGCAAGTCAGCAAGAATATTGAGATCAACAAGAGTTAATTGTAACCTAGTCCTAAGGTTGGCATAAATGTAAGAATTGGATTCTCAAAGTTAGATTATATTACTTTGTTCGTAACAAGAAATGAAGAGAATTTCACAATTTCACAACACAAATATTAAATTTTGATTGAAAAGTTCTGAATGTCACTTCTTGGTGTAAAAACATGAAGGTTAAGCTTCATTATCATTTCTTCTTATGGAAAAGATCATATTATTACTGCTATGTGTGATCAAGCAAGCCATATGAATGTCTAACATGTGTGGTTGAATATATAGAATAAATAAATATTTTTTAATGTTTTATTTAATTTTTATGCATTTTTTATTTTTTATTTTTTTTATTTTTTAAGGATTCTAACACATTTGATTTTGTATTAATAGGAAGCATAATTTGACTTGATGGATGTAAAAAGAATAAAAAATAAAATACTTGAACTTTAAATTTTAAAATAGAAAATTTAACTGTTAATGGATTGTAGATGCATTTCCTATCAATGTTATGAAAAAAATAATAAACACTCATTATTTTGTAATATCAGGTATATAAAAAAATAACATAAAGTTTAAAATATATATAATTACTACTCAGCACAAAGTTTTTATCAACACAAAAAATTTAAGACGGTTTTATCTTAGCAAGCACTTTTAAAACTCTACTAATGCACCAATAACCTATTAGTATATAACTTTTGCATGATAAATTGCAATGTAAACTTTCTCATTGTTGTGTTTCAAAAAATTCATCAAAATGATCCATACATTCCTTGTCATTCTTTAAAATCTTACAATATATTTAATAGAAAATTTAATCTTCTAAAAAACTAATTTAATTTTAAAAATTAATAGTTAAATAAAAAAATATTAATTTTCTATAGATTTATTTTATGTGAATTATCTTATTTTATCTAACTTTAACAAAAAAAAGTTTTTTAAAGCATTAAATTAAGCTCTCATAAGAATTTTTGAATTTTTTATGTTGTTGTTTTCTTTTCTTTTCCTTTGAAAACTTCTATAGCATCATAATTAAGATTTAACAAAAATTAAAATTAAAATTATAAATTTTACATGTAAAATTAAAATAAAAAATTAAATCAGTATCTTTTTAATTTTTATTTAATTAAAGTATTAATATCTTTTATTTTAATATAAGAAGTATCTATTGGTGGTTTTTTAAAATCTATCTATGAAACAATATATTTATCTACAATAATAGATAAAACCAATAAAATATATTAATACAAATATATCCTAAATGTTTATTTTGTTAGAAGCCATTACTCTATTGATCTACTTTATAATACAATATCCATGCCAAGACAATGACAATGGCAATTTTGTAGAAGATCATAGTAAAAAAGAAGCAAAAAATACAAATCTAAGAAATAGAAAAGAAAATTGAGTAGAAATAGGAGATGGTGTATATTTAAGCCATTGCAATTGCAAGAAATAAATAGAAATAGAATAAAATTTTGACACATAACATAAATAAATAAATAAAAATAAGAATTGTAATATAATTAGGTACAATTAAAGGTCTTGCCTCTTTTATTCTTTTTACACCAAAAAAAAAATAAAACAAAATAAATAAATAAATAAATAAAAATGCTCTATAAGACCTATTATTATTATTATTATTATTATTTGATTGTTCTTATTATTAAATTTAATTAGAACTTACTTATTTTTTAAATTTTAAATATTTAAAAATTTTAAATTAAATATTACAGTAAGAATTTTTTATATATACACATTCACTTAGATGTATATTTTTTGTAACTCGACATCTCATTAAAATAAATTATAAAATTATATACTAGTATGTATATATTGAGAAAAAAAACTTTGCATAAGTATTTTCTTTTTTGATTACAACTACTTCTATACTTATTATATATATATATATATATATATATATATTTTAATTTTTTTATTGCTATATATATATATATATATATATATATATATATGTTACTAATACAATAATAATTTAGACATAAATTTTAGGAATTGCACCTAATTCCACTTCTGTTAAGATTATTTCAATTTATTATCTATTATTGCTGTCACAAATATATATATTTTCCTAAATTAAAGGAATTAAATAGAAGTATATATATATATATATATATATATATATATATATATATTGATAATTTCTTATAGAGAAGCTTATGAAAAGCTTAATAGATATGGATTTGACTTTATAAGTAATTGATAGCTTAAAAATTAGGCCAACAAGTTGGACACATGTCATACATATTGATAACTTGTGATAATAGTTGGCTATGTGGCATACATATTAAAAACTTGTCTTATAGGTTAATCATGTGTCTTTTAAGGTGGATATATATTATAAATCCTATAGAATGTCACAATATAGTTCTTAATTAGATAGTATATATAGAGGCAAGAGTGATGCCTATTTTTAGTCTTGTCAATATCTTTTTTATTCTTAGTCTTATTTCAAGAATATATAGTCTTCTTATCTTTGGTAATAGCTATCATAGTAGAATATTATATTATCTTTGAATGAACATCTGTTTTTTTTTAATGATACAAGAATGTATGGAGATTGTTATTGTTTGTAATTCATGTCTTTGACAAGTTGGCAAAATTATTAATTCACTATTTTTTATTTTTCGAAATAGATTATCCCACTTCTTTTTTTGTACTTTAAAGAATGTAAACCACTTATCTTTAAATTAATATTTTTTTATTTTCGAACATTGATTTATTTTTTTTATAAAAATAAAATATTTTTTTATAAAAATAAAATATTTTTTTATAAAAATAAAATATTTTTTTATAAAAATAAAATATTTTTTTATAAAAATAAAATATTTTTTTATAAAAATAAAATATTTTTTTATAAAAATAAAATATTTTTTTATAAAAATATTTATTTAATATTAAAAATTATAGATTTATCTCTTCTAATTTGACTTTTAGTTTTTTTAAAATTTTCTATTATAGAGATTGAAGGAAGAATTATGGATGCTATACTTGACATAAGTGAGAATAGATTTGCAACTATTGCAAGTCTTCACAAACTTGTCAATATTCTTAGGATAAAAATCTTATATATTATGAATGTCAAGCATCAAAGTATTTTTTCTACACCTATGAAAGTAATTAAAAATAAGTTTCAAAGTCTATACTAAGAAGTTGTGCCATTGAGAGAAGTAAGTAGAGTAATCTCACAATTAAATCTAATAAATCTTGCTATTATAAATATGAAGGAGATAAAGATTATTATATTGGAAAAGTTTAATGATACAAAATTAAAGTTTTGAGAATTTTCTTAAGAAGTTAAGCTCTATCTAAGGTTACATCATTTTTAATATCATAATAAAAAAAGAATTAAGTTAATTTCATAAGTATCTTTCTATCTAGAAGCGATCTCCATATTATTTTGTACCTTTGATTGAAAAGGATTCATAGCTTTTATATGACTTAAATTCATTTTTAAAATAAATTACGACTACATTTAAAGAAAGCAATAAAAAAAAAAATAGATAATAGAGACAAAATTCATATCTTTGTAACAAAGATCACTATTAACTACTATATATGCTACCAAATTTCAAAACCTTCCTTATGACATGGATTAAAATGATAAAATTATTATTAATAAATTTTGATATGGATTAAAAAAAGATGCCAAAGACTTATTATTGACAATACCAAAAAAAAGTCATTAAAATAATTTATTTGTTGGAGCCATTGCATGCAACAATCAATTTTTTGAAAGATGCCAAAAAAAAGATTTGATTAAGGAGAAATAAGTCAAGTCATGAAAAAAATTCTTAAGTTTTTAAAAACTTATTTATTAAAGCCTAAATCTAAATAATACAATATAATATATTTTAAATTCTCACTAAACAAGAAAAGATTTAATGTTGTAAAAAATAATTGTTCTTATATTTTAAAGAATGTAAGTACATTGCTTAATATTATCCAAAGAAGCAATGCAATCAAAAAATAAAGAACATGGTTGCTAAAGATAAAAATATGTTGAAAGACAAGTTTTTCTAGCTATAATAGAAACTATGTAGTTGGAATTTTATGCAAAACCTTGTATAGAT